AATAACACTGGTGTTGGCAAATAGTTAGACATTTTCAAAAAACATGTTTCAAGCATCAGCATCAGTTCACAAACTATCAAGAATCAGTAATGTGGAGGCGAACTTTTTTAAAGCATCTAAGTGGCATCTGTTTCATACAAAATTGGGTAATCCATTGTAGATAGGAATTGTTTGATATGGAGCGCCTTTTAGTACCTTAGCTCTTGTTTGTATGGGATTAAGTATGAATTTATTTCATATTAATGTGTTACCGTCAAACGGGATGAAGCAGATCAATATTTTGAGTTTGTCCTAAATATAGTATAAATAAGAAATCTGGAAAAAATATATGTTATAGCCTCGCTATTCAGCTATATGACAGAAATTTTTCGAAAAAATTAAGCCACAACTCGTAGTTTTTTTTTGTTAAAAGTTGATCCGCTTCACCCCACAAATTGGGGTGAATTTTGCCCAAACTCCGCGTTTTACAAATAATGGGTGAAGTGTGGATCAAGAAAAATATTTTTAAAAAAACAAAATATGGTCATATAACCAAATCGTATTATAATCACCAATAAAAAAGGTCATAATAACGTTGCTTTCTTTAAATATGAAAATGGTTAATAAAATATTGTAAACATTATTACGGTATACAGTGTGTCTCACTTAGGACTGTAACACCCCTATAACTTTTTTAGTTTTTATCCATTTTAAACCAAAGATAGAGAGGTTATTAAGATCTACTTATGAGTTATGACCACAAAATTATTTACCCTCGTCAAATGCAGTCACCTACGATGCAAGATTGAATGACAAAAATGCAAAAACATGCATTTTTTATGAAAAAAATTTATTACGAAAAATTTTTCAGAATTATCCCAAAAGGCCAAATTTAAAATTTGGTTAAAAATAAAAAAATTCGTCAAAACAGTTGCAAAATAAAATATATATTTTTTTCTTTTTGATAAAATTAAAAGTTTTTTGAGAATCGTCCCAGTAGATCAATTTCTAAAGTTAGCGTAGAAAATTTTTTTTTTTAAACAATTGATGAAATTTTTTTATTTTTTTGTGATCATTAACAAAAATGTCACATGGTGGACCAGTTTCATGAAATTCTAGAAAACAACAAACTGTAGCATTGTCTTCTAGTGAAGCAGAATACATGGCACTTTCAGCATCAGTGCAGGAGGTGGTAATGTTAAGGAATTTAAATGAGGAACTTCAGAAGATCCGGGAGAATTAGTTGTAAAGTGCTATAGATTTGGCAAATATGTATAAGCAACTTTTGTCCTCAAACCAAACATTGATATACACCATCGTTTTGTACAGGGGAGGATAGAAAATGGAGATGCCATTATGAAACAAATTGGTACAAACAAAATGGCAGCAGATACATTAACGAAAGGTTTACCGTATGCTAAATATTTGAATTGCATAACAAAAATTGGTTTGGTATAATTTGGCAAGTGGTCAGCAAGTCTTAAGGATTCAGTTATCTGGTTGATGTCGTTGTTCGGTGGGAGTGAGACCCTTGCATCAACATACAATATCATTAATCACTTGTATTTTATTTTATTTATATCTATCTATCTAATATCTTTCTCTTTGTACGTCTAGTGGTAGTAATAAATAGAAGTTCTAAATTACTATTTATTAATGAATAAATAAAAGATAATAACATTTTATTATAAAAAAAAGGAAATAATTGATTTACATTATGTCCAGTAATTTATTATTTTCTCCTAGCTAATAAATTAGTTGTGGTCACTATAGAGAGGGGCTAGCTGACTTTCGTTCACCCTCTTGTCCTTAGGTTAGAGAAATAAGGTATAAATAATGTAGTAAATATTTGATATTCTTAAATTACATTTACTAAATTAATTTTATCTCTTATCCATAAAATGCCGATATTATTCTTCCTGAAACAAATTGTAGTTATTTTATTTAGTGGAATTAAATTGGCAGTCTTGAGTTTTTTTGTATAAAAAAAAGGAAAGAAGTTTTTAGAACAAAAGCAGCCATGAAGCAAATTAGTAGTTAAAACTTTATAGAGTAATTTGGCTGTATTATTATGAGAGAGCCTCAGAACAACTGAGGTAAATATTCAATTTAACAGTCACTATATATATATTGATATAAAAAACATGCATAGGTATTATGTTACAAAACTTACACGTATCTATTACTTCAGGCTCTTCCGCCGTACCCTTTTGGAACAGTAATCTTTAGATACTGTAAAAGTTTGTACCTTGATGATAACTTATATTATAATCTAAATTGCTACTTATTAACTACTGGAGAAGGAAATTTAATATTGACATTTGGGTGCTTACCGAAAAATTTACTTGGTTTTACATTGGATCATCAACCAGTACAGGATTTGACAGAGATAGGACCTCTAGCATAATAATTATCTAGGGCTTTAGCCGAACCTGTTGGTACGTTCGCCCAATCAGGAGATTCATTTTGAGAAAGAAGTAACGTTTTCAGGATAGCTATTAAACAAATAATAAAATAAATACACATATATTCCAATAAGATTAATTATATAAATTAACTGTGATAAGTACTTACCTCGTATCCAGCTGCATATGAAGGTATACCATATCTATATTACACTCTGAATAGTCGGTGTCTTTAAATTTTGTTCATTTATTAAATTCATGGAGCACAAATAAGTTACACAATTTTCTTATATTTTGAAACTAAATATAGGGTTAGGTCTTATCGACACTTATCGAATTCAACCTTGTCGCTGTCTAATAGTACAGGGACGTACTAGAAATTGTTAAATTGGTGAAATTCTGTGTTGATGTTTCAACATTTTTTTATATAACGTTTGTCATGTAATAATAACATCCTATCGAATTTACTTACTACATACCTTACATGTGCTTTTAATGTTCCTCGTTTAAATATTGTTTTGTACATATAATATTGTTTACACTTGTGATACATTTATTAATGCCCTAATCTCTAAGTTATAGGTACACTACTCTATACAGTTTATATATATTTTTAAGCATCATAGTGGTTAATATTAGGGCTGGAAATCGAATACGAATAAATCGAGTATTCGAATATTCGAGTATTCGAATACGAATTATTCTAAAGGGAAATTATTCGAATATTCGAATAGGTACTCGAATATATTCGAGTATTCGAATATTCGATTATATCTGAGTAAATTTGAATATTAAAATATATTATTAAGTTATGTACGAATAGGTATGCAGTTTGCATCCAAGCAAAGTAGGTAGATAGTAGGTATAGGTAGGTACCTAGTCTAAAATCCAAATATATAAATAGACCACATTAGTGGCACGTTTTACTCCCAGTCAAACTATTCCATATCTTTCTCGCCTCGACCTTATTCTCACTGTACTAAGGCAGGGGTGAAAATTAAATTTTAAATTTTAGAAAACCTGTAAATTTTTAACTATTGACTTTTCATGTATTTGTTTTACCTTCACAATCTGCGTCTTTTTTAAAAACATTCTAATTTTAGAGCACTTTTATTTTCTTCGAAAAGGAAAAATAGTTATGACACAGAAGTATAATAAACTAGATCTATTTTTGTTTTATTTAAGCTTCAATAGTTAAATGTGAACAATAGCGCCTCAATCCTAAAATAAAATACTAACTGAATAATTCTGACCCTTAAAGCACATGTACAGGAGACATACCCTATTGTGGGTATGGAAAGCAAATCAAATTGCCTGCTTAGTGGTTTACGTCACGACTATTATTGTGGTCTATCCAACCAAATACTCAAATAGAGTATTCACTATTCACTAGTATTCAGTGCTATACCTATTAATAATGAATATTCGAGGATCCAGATTATTCGGATACCTATTCGAATAATTCGGATTATTCGAGTATTCGAATATTCGACTAAGTATTCGAATAATTCGAATTATTCGATTATTCGAATATTTTTTCGAACGAATATTCGAATACTAAAATCTGGAAAATTCCCAGCCTTAGTTAATATATTTGTGTTTTATACAGTTTACTGGTCCATTATTATTGTCTATTTAGGTCTGCTAATTTAAAATTTACTTAAATAAACTTGTTAACAGTTAAAAACTTGTTTCTTTATTTTTATAACACATTATTTTGCCTCCCTCTATTTTGTCAATTATTATTAGTTACTAGTAGTTTTTAATGATTGGCTGGCGACTTGGGTCAGTTTAGATTAGTGCAGCCTTAATTTCTATATAATAAAACGTCATGTTAAAGATACCCATTTAGCCACTCCCGCTCTCGACTAATAAGCTAGCCTGCTCGTCGACGACCATGGTATCGCTGCAAGGAACGTCGCAGTGTGTTTGTTGCAGTTAATAAATAACTATATGTAGAGCTTGGTATACATTGATAATATTGTAGTATATTTTAAAAATGTCACTTCCTTCTCGAAGTACTGTAGAACAATGGATAAACGATTTCCCCGAGTTAGAGTCTGATGGCACAAAAGTTCGGTGCAATATTTGTGAGAAAATATCGTCATGTGTCCCTCAGATCCGGGCTCTTAAACCGTTTTTTGTTTCATCAGTGTTTATTCCACAATATGCCAAAGAAAACAGTGATAATGCGAAATGTTGTATATTTCAAGGAAAAATGTGGATAGGATAATCCAATCACTATTTTCCCAAGAAAGACGCGGGATTTGTTTAGCTGCTGTGCAGCCGCTCTTGCGGTGAATTCAAGCGCGGTAACCCATTAACTCGAATGCAAAGAAACCAAGAAATAAGAAATAGCTGACAAGTACTCGCCTGATCACAGCGCCATGTGTGCGCAGTGGTGAATTTAGTTCACGCAGTTTACTGTGTGACGTCATACGCATATAACTAATACCGAGTGTTTTAGTGTTTGTGGAAACTACTTTCTTATTATTTGATTACGTTTTTTATTTATTTTCAGAATTGTGTACTTATGTGTGTTCATTCGACCGTAGTCGAAGGTGTGTTCATAAAACTTTTGATGAAGTAAAATAGATGTCGGAAATATGACCACATCGAAACCCCCGATGGATTTGAACCCTCGATCTCCTATTTATTAGACAGGCGCTTTAACCAATTAAGCCACAGCACCTTCGATACTTTTTATAAACAGAAGATCTTTTACCAGCAATAAAGTAAATAATTTGAAATAAAATGTATGAAATTTTAGTCTCGTTTTTATGAACATGATTTATAAATGCGTATTTTCTCTACATCTGAAATAATTCTGATTATTATTTCTCAAGATTATCAGACAAAATTCACCATTAAAATTTTAAATTATTATAAAACATTATTTTATTTATTTTCTTGGAATATTGTAAACTGTAATGTCAAAATAATAAAATAAAACATTAAATAACATAAGAAAATGGTTGTTTTTATAGATTTTTGTTTAGTTGGTAGGCTGTCTCTGGTAAAAAGTTCTATCAGTTGGTACACCTAGTTGTCAAAAATGACATGACATAACTGATTTTGACAGTATCTTAATAACAAGAAAATGTATTTTTATTTGTGATAAATGTTGTTTTAATGAATAATGTTGGATAATATGCCTCCATTTCGACGAAAAAAATCGGGGGAAAAGTTTCCCAGTGAAAGTCTGCACGTTAGATGCAGAACTGGAATTTAATCTTGAAGTATGTTTATACATTTGTCATTTGTTTATTCCATCAGGTTCTCTTTAGAATATACAGTTTATTATTAAATTATATACTTGTACTATTGTAAAGTTATGCTTTTATAAAATAATTCTTCAATTGTATAAAATATTATGCTGGACCTCAAAAATAGATAGGTTTTAATATTTTTAGTGGCGTGCCACAGGAAGGGATCTTTTTGAATTAGTATGTAGAACCATAGGCTTACGAGAAACTTGGTATTTTGGACTACAATATGAAGATTCTAAGGGCTTTATATCATGGCTAAAGCTAGACAAAAAAGGTTTCAAACAGTCAAGATGCTCTATATTATGACTAATTTTCCCCTTTTCTAGTTCAAGATCAAAGTATACAAAAAAATCACCAGACAGCTTCCTTTATGTTTCTGGGTAAGTTTTACCCCAAGAAGTAGCAGAAGAACTTGTACAAGAAGTCACACAACATTTATTTTTCTTACAAGTAAAACAGGCGATATTATCCATGGATGTTTACTGCCCCCCCAGAGGCCTCAGTATTACTAGCAAGTTATGCTGTACAAGCAAAGGTTTGATTAATTGTCTCGACTATTCAGCTGTAATATGAGTAGAGGCCCTCTACAAATGAACAAATTGAGCTGGAACTGTAACTTGTGTTGACATCAGAAATGACCGTATTTTCATATAATGTAACACAAAATACAGTTCCAGTGTATTTATTTTCTTTGTATATAGTTTTTTTAAACTTGTGGTCTATCATACTCGATTCATGCATTGGTGTTAAAAAATTTCATTAGTGCACTGAAGCGTTAATGTTTAATGTCAGTTAAAAAAGTAATAGATTGTATAGTGAGTTTTTAGATCCAGAGAAACGTAATATCCATTATGTAAGTTAAAACACTGGCAACACATCACAAATTGACCATAAAGGTACTTCAATAGATTAAAAAAAAAATGCAAATTACCTCTTATTTTCCATGGTATTTTAATATTTTAATAGGTTTGTTCAAATGGCGGTAGAACTAGTTTGTAGTACAAATTATACCGACTCTGTGTGATATGTTTAAAAAGCTTATTTGTGTAAAACAAAACTACTATACATAATCAATAAAATTTGTCCAATAGACCTAATATTAAATTTTTTTCGTTTTTCAGCTAATATTACTTAGAAATCTTTTTCTGTTTTATATTTATATTTTGACAACTTGACAAACCTACTGTGTATATCTATTTTAGTTTGGTGATTTTGATGAAGATACTTATAAGCCCGGTATGTTAGCGAGTGAAGATTTGTTACCTCAGAGAGTCATCGATCAGTACCAGATGACGCTGGAGATGTGGGAGGAACGTATCAGAGTTTGGTACGCAGATCACAGAGGCATGTCTCGAGATGAAGCTGAAATGGAATATTTAAAAATTGCACAGGATCTTGATATGTATGGTGTAAATTATTTCCCGATATTAGTAAGTGTCAATGAGGAAAATCATTATTTTAATAGAATATACATCAGTTGACCTGTGGAATTCGTTCAACAATGTTAATATCTGTTTTTTTTTGTAAATTGTCCAGTGATCCAAAAAAAAGAACCAGATTTCAAATGGTCGACATTTCATCTTTATTTAAAAAAATTCTCAGGACTATTTAATGTAGGTTTTCCTTGTAAATTGATAATTTTAATATATATAAATATAAACAAGATATAACAATTAACAGAAACAATAACAGTGAACAAACAATACTTTGTTTATGTTTATATACGTAAACTTTCTAGAAATTAATATTTATAATAAACTGACTAATTTGGCAGGAATAATTCCGAACAGGGTGGAATTAATTTTAATATTTTTTAATTTGGTCTCAGAACTCTCACAGTAATGTTGCACCTCCTGAGAGATTGAGTTTTTGTTGAATTTTTTCCTTTCAGTTGGTGACATTTTTATTTGAGTTTATTTACACCTAGTAAAGGTATTTTGTTATAAAAAAATTTTCTTTTCATAATGTATAACTTTTTGATTTGTACTCTTTTCTATGTTGGTAACCATGACAATAGACTATATCAAACACTCATAACAGTAATTAATGAATAGAGATCGGGGAAGTAGCGATAAATGACGTTGATGCTAGGTGATGTTATCGCTTAAATCATCCATATAATACAATACAATATAATACAATACTTTATTAACCCCAATCAACATACACACAGGGGCGTGTGGTGAGTTTTGATACAGGGGAAGCAGTTTGTGATATAGGGTGATGGGTAGTGTGAAGCCCCAAGCGAGCGAGGCAATTTTTTTTTAAGAAAGGGGCGTGGCTTCGGTATAATCATTTTAAAGCAAATGTCGAAATACGCAAAGTTATGATATCTAGAAAAACTCCATCCTCTCCTGGCTATTTGAATGGTTGGAATGATCTGATGGCCCACTCAATTGCCGGTATTGTGATCACCTTTTTAGCCATCAGCCAATCATTTTTATCAGGTCGTTTTAATCGGCCTTCTGATGGTGACGGCTGTTGGTCATCTGCAGTCAAGCACCCTGGGAAGTGGTTTTTGTGCTAGGAGCTGTAAGGTTTCTTTTCCAGAGTCCGTATATGAGCCATCCGGTTGCCTTAACGAACCGAATTCCCTTGTCGGCTCTCTGGAAAGAATCTTGTGGATTCTAGTACTGTGAGGTAGGTCAGGTATACTCTCACAAAATTTCCTCCAAGATCCCCTTTTTGCTTTCCTTATTTTTTTGTTATAGTCCGGTAGAGCAGATCTATATTGGTCCCAGTCGCCCGAAGCTTTAGCTCGATTAAAGAGGCGTCGAACTTCTTTTCTCATTTTATCCAAATTTTTGTTCCACCAAGACGTGCCTCTATTGTCCCTTTTTGTCTTCAGTGGACAGTTTTCGTTATATGCTGAGTGAGGACAATTGCGTTGCGGATCTGTTCCGCCGCAATTTCAGTCTCATCACGATTCCTGATTGTGGTGATAGAGGATTGAAGGTGAGGTAATGTTTATACCCTTCCCAGTCCGTGCACTTTGGATCCCGATAAGTCACCACAGGTCTTGGACCAACTTCTATATTGAATAGAATATGTTTATGATCTGAACACGAGGGTTCAGAAGATACTTTCCAATCGGATATCTTGTTGCTCAAGTAGTTTGAGCTGATTGTGATATCTAATACCTCCTTCCTATTTCTGGTGACAAAGGTTGATTCGGAACCAATGTTATTCACAGTTATTCACCTAATAAATATTCAAAAAGTGACTCACCTCTTTGGTTAATGTTTGTGCTTCCCCACGCTGTATGGTGGGAATTCGCGTCACATCCAATAACCAGGTGGATATTGTTCCTTTTGCTGTAGGCGATTAAATCCCGCACTACAGCTGGAGGAGGTTGGTCTGCATCTCTATCACCCGGGAAGTAGGCTGAGCAGACGATTATTTCCGTCTTGCTTCCTCCCTCCGAGATCGATACCTGGACGGTTACAACGTCCTGGGTGCAGTAACCTGTAAGTACAAAATGGTTAATGTTATTTCTGATCAAGATACATGCCTTGGGTCTTTCATCAGAGCCGATTTCTATTACCTTGCCAGAAGTATTTCCCAGGCCGCTTACTCGGCCTGTGTTACTTGTCCAGGGTTCCTGGAGGAGAGCGATGTCGATTTGCTCTTCCTTAAATCTTTTGCCGAGGACGTATGTGGCCGCCCTGGCTTTTTGTAGATTCGCCTGTAGACACCTAATATAATATGTCATTGGGTAGTTGATTTGAGGATAAGGATTAAAGATAAGGGTACTAGTTGTGAAAGTGTTGAGAAACGGTTGGGTTAGGTTTGTGGGTTTAAAGTAAATTAAGGGGGAGTGTGATTTTTTTCTCCTCCTCCCGGAAGGTGAATGTTTCTCACTTCCTGGAGGTGGTTTTGTCTGGGTTAGGTTCCCCCCGCCATTCCCTAACTGCAACTAACACAGAGGTAACAAGATAAACATACTATCGGTCACTTTACCATTTTAATCGATAAATTAATTGACAGTATTTACTCAATTTAATAGTCAAAAAATAAAAAATAATGTATTATGAATTGTTGTAGCTGAGTTCATCTATTACTCATCGAGTTTGTATATAATGTTGATTTCAAAATATTAACAACACTGAAACTACGATGAATTTTAGAACAACATTAAAATTACCTATCTAACATAAATCTAACTAAATATTATATTTATTGCATATGTGAATATATGGTTTCCTCGTCACACAGTTTCACATACAAAAATATATTACAAATTACAACTTACCCCATAAATACAGATAAAAGACATCCTGATAGAATCTTGAAAAACTCACTGCCGGCACTGGCATCATAACCAAAAATATATAAGACTATTTCGATTAGAAGTCGCCTTATATAAATATGGAAATTATTTAATTCTATGGACTAAAGTATACTTTAATATTCGTATTTCCAA